AAAGATTTTATACAAATTTAACATCGCCCAGTGAATTGTATACAGTTTTAAAAACTATAATTCTTAAAGATGAATATGATTTTGCAAAAAAGGTCTTTATTACATTTTTACAATGAATATTTTTGCTGTCTGGTTTTATAATAGATTCCACTGAAGAAACATGCGTACAAAAACAATTTGGCGATCATAACTAACCATTTTTGGTAAAAGATGAATCTAAAAATAATTTGATAGTCCTATCACGCCTTTGGTTTTACTCACACCATCAACCGTGTGTTTCTGAGACCAAAATCCCCATTTAAAACATATTGTTATATGACAATATGTTTTATAGAGATGTTGGTCTCGGAAACCAAGGGTAAGTCATGCTTGTATAAATAGTATTTGACGTAGTTTAATGATGCCCTAATGGTTGTTTATAGAAAATTAAACATTGTAAATAATTCAAATTATGTTTCAAACTTGAATTTGATTTTTCAATTTTCAGTGTGATAATATATTATTTTTTTAAATATTTTAGCAAAAAGGCTATAAATATTTGATTACATTAATTAATTATTTATGAATACATTTTAATTAAAAAGAACACTTGTAAGAAAAAATCTTAATCAATTTACATAAAATTTATATTTTTGTGAAATAAATTGAACACATCAAAGTAATAAAAATTATTGTAAATTACATTTATTTCAGTTTCTCCAGAAAATGCTTATCAAAGCCCTTTTATATATAATTTTACATAAAAAAATCTTATAATACCATATATTTTTGTCAATAATCAACTTATTTATAAGAAATAAGATATTATTATGCACATCTGATATTTTTAAATTGTGAAATAAATTGAACACATAAGAATAATACAATATCATGCTTTTATCTTACTAATATTATAAATGCGAAAGTTTCAATGGATGGATTTTTGCATGACATTTGGGCATAGATGTAGAATATTATAGAAGAACACATACAAACTAAGTTACTTTAAATTCTACGCAGCAGCCATTGGCAAAAGCTAGTTATAGATAATTATATAAATACTTCATATAGATTATTCTATATAACAGACCTTAAATTGCACTCAGGAGAAATTTAAAACAACTAATATCCTTTCGGAATAAGATTATCGACATCCGTTAAATTACTTACAAAATGTGGCCACTCTTTTATTATATCAAATAATTTATCACCCGGACTAAGAGTTGACATTAATTGTCTATGAGCAAACAATTTATAATCTTTTGTAATAACACCAAGATCGACACCATGTTTGATTAATTTTTTGCAAGCGTCTACCTGTTGCTTCGGTGGTGGGTCATTATTAAAAGTTCCTATAAATGCAATCGCTATACTATATTTGTTATATCCTTTTGTGTGAGAGCCTATGTAATTCCAGCCACGACCAAAGTACACAGATCCGTCCCCGCCAACCAAGAAATTATAAGCGATGTCGAACCATTTTCTTGACTCTATATGAAATGATTGTATCAACCGAACTGCAAGCACACACTGGCTCTGAAATTGAAATGTAAATATTTTTTAATTGATATCATTAGCAATATAAGGATTGAATTTTTATCATGAAAGAAATTTACAAAATCATATTTTTTTTCAGTAGAGAATAGAGTAGGAAAAATTATAAATTCAAACAAAGTATTATGTCTTTGATTAAGTTTACTAACATTAGAATGCAATGTAATGTGCCAAGCTTATATACAGACCTGTATATAACAGCTTTCGGTTGCAGTATGTGTTATAATCACCCATGGTACTGGTTGTACTATTTTATCCAGCGGTCCTTCGACTGGCTGTGCCAGCCAATCAGTTCGTGAGACAATCCTCAAGTGGTCTGGAGCTATCAACAAGGGATCCACTAGAAACAGTATTACAAACCGATATAAAAATGAAATAGGAATGAGGTATTAGTATTTTATACTATGGATGCATTATTTTATTTCAATTACCCATAAATATTTTGCTACTTGTAAATAAGACCTTATATGAACATACTGCAGTTTACTTGTAATAAAATTAACAATTACATAGTCATTACACTTCATTCTTACATAATATCATTCCATTTTTGACTTTCCATTTTATTTTTTAAAGGATAAGCAACTAGTTATATTTATATTAAAAAGCAGTATAAATAAATACCTCGGAAAGTACAATTCATGCACATGTCAGTTCTTTTTGTCTTTACCAATGCACCGTAGCTCTTTTTACTTTTACATTTCTCGTTGTCCGAGTTATCCGTAATGATTGTTAGTGATTTACCGATGTATAATAAAATTAACAATACAAATGTAAATGAGGTGATTATTATGTGAGAAATCGGATACAGTGCGTCATAGCTTAGCACCTCCACCGTCTTTGCTGAAATAGTGTTAATAATTATTAATGTTTTGGTTACCATCATATTGTAAAATTAGGCCTCACACGCCATGTTATAAACTGACTGATTGAACTGAACAAATCCTTGATATATTACAACCCCATTTTGTATATCATCTTGTAAATTATAACTATAACATGATAACAAAAGTGAGGCCCTTAGTTCAGAGTTTGTTTATTCTACAGCTGGTGAGTTTACAAACTGACAAAATTACCAAACTGATTATGACATATTTATAACAGTACAGATATAACATTCCATACACCTGAGTAAAAGCGTTAGTAACCAAGAATCTGTGATTAACAGCGTAATGTAATTCATTACATACATGTACAAAATTAAATTATTAATAAAGTGCAATGAAGAACCAAAGAACACCAGATATGCTTGAAATTTTTAAGAACATGAAGTATTATAAAAAGCAATACCAGATTTTTTTATACTTAATAAAAAAGCAAACACATTCTTTTCAATTTGAAATGATATAAAAAAAACTTTGTGATATACTGGCAAGAGTATTTATTCAATCTGTTATTGCATGTTAAATCATTTGTAATAAAGTTATTTTTTGGGTGAGTCTACAATTTTCTTAACATTATTTGAAGCATGTCTGTTATTATTTTAGTTGGAATCAATGCCTAAAAATAATAAATTGTATGAAAATCTTACCTGAGTATGCATCATTAAAGTAAGTGGATGTTGTACCTCTACTTTGCTCATCATTCTTACTCATTGTAATTAAAACAATTGTAACAATTCCTCCAACTACGATAATGCAAATTACAAATATTATTAATTTCTGCCGAGTTAGTATGTCATGCTTTTTTATAGCTGCAAATTTCAAAAACATTTGAATAACGAAGATATCTTAATAGATATACTATTATACAAATGAAACAATATAAAACACAAGTAAAATAATCAATTTTGCTTTTTTAATTGTCTTTTTAAATAAATGGTAATACTAAGAGGTACGCATACATATTATCCGGAGGCCTTATTAAGTCCTCTTTCCCTTCCCACCCTTTTTCTTATAAGGAAAGGATGGAAAGTGGAAGTGGACTTTCCGTTTGAGAGGATGCATGAGAAGGGAAAATATTTTCTTTCTGTGCATCCTCTCCTTCGTCGATTAAAGGTAGGCAACGCATATGCAATTGCGTATGTCTATGGGCAACGGTCAGTTCGCTATTTCAACGATTTCAGGTGGCCGCTTGCTCGTTTACCACCTTATGATATAAAAAAAAATACATAAAATATCATTTTGCTTTTTGCCATTTACAACACAATTCAGTACTTCTTTAGATCATTTTAAAAGGAAGTCCTATGACTAATCGAACAAAAATATATAACCACTGTAGTTATTACCAATGGCAACAGATAACATATGATTTAATGAACCAGTTTAATCAGGTATTTTGGTACTTCCCCACAAAATCAAGGGAGACAATACATGTACTTTTGCAAATGTATTTTTTGTAATCTTCTTTGTGTAAATACCCAAAGCCTCCCATGTATTTAATAACAATCTAACTTCAATTTATATTACCAAATTTGTGCCTGAACTTGAAATCATAGGTGAACTGACAATGTTGACCTGCATTAACACATAACATGCCATATTTTCATGTTAAAGTAAATTTTGCAATTTTTATATTGATGTTATATTTTTTAATACTAGTTGTACAGTTATTTTCAGAGAAAAATCAGAGTGCAATTAAGACCACTAGGGCCTTGAACTTTATTAATAATTAAGAAAACACAATTTCTTTAATAAAATTATGTGGAAGTTAACTTAAGTTTTACATATTGCTATTTGTTATTTAAAATATGAGAGGAATATAAACATATTTTAGATTTCCATCAGTGGAAACTCATAAAGAAAATGTAATAAAAAGCCAACGTTATTATTGACTAAAATGAAGCATTGCCTTACTTTTATGTGGATGAAATCAATACATTTTAACATTAATTTATAGCTAAACATTTCATAATGATTCCTCTATTTATGAGTATTTTTTAATGAAGTGTAACTTACTTGGGGCACTTTGGGGCTTATTTTGACATTCATCTTTATCCTCATTCTTATCTTCTGTATTTGTGTAAGAAGCATTTTCTACACCATTTTTACTTTGTATAATTGTAACGGGTCCATTAAAAAAAGTATTGTTACCAAAATGAACATTTTCGGAATTAGAAACTGAGACAGTTCCGATCACAGGTGAAGTCGAAGGAAGTAAACCTAAAGAATTAGGCGAAGCGTTACTAGTACTTAGTGTTGTCTGTTTGTTATATTCCGAATCATCGTCGCTCACTTCCTCGATAATTTGGACGTCTCCTATATCACCTTCAACTTTTATACCTGAATTACTTGAACTTAAAATTGGCTCACTTTTCATTGCCATTTTATAATGCACAATCACGTTTTCGACGTTAAATACGAATTAAACATTGTAAGTAGACATTCCAATTTTCAATTATTATAATACTGTACAAACAAAACAAATCAAACACCCAAACACGTAAAGTAAATCTGTCATAAATCATAAAGTTAAAAAAAGTAGTTGTGTCTATTGCCGAATAGGAAGTGCTTAAACAGGTGATCCTCCTTACTTTTTTTGTTTAAAGTGGGTATCTAAAAACTATCTCATCCACTCATCACCCTATAAAATGGTATAACGTTTATAACAATATTTTATATAAATATTGCTAATTATAATAAACATATTCACACTTTAACTTTCAAGAGACTGGACCTGCCAATTGTGCGCATTTCCATCTGTCGAATAGAACACAAAAAATAAGTTTTGATTTGCTTTCTAAATCCCTAGCTTGTGTGCTTGTTTTGTGTGTGTCCATTTTTTGGTTAATATTCGTTCATGGAGACGATGAAACTTATCGAAAATGTAAGCATCTTATGCACAGGTCTGTTGTCGTGACTCCTGCCAAGAAGTGACCGAATTTATTTGATCTTAGGCTCCTCAGAATAGATTTTTTTCCCAATGTTACATGTTACAGACCCCTTAATTAAATTATTTTAATATACATAGTTGTCTATGTATATTAAAATCATCATCTAGTCCATTTCTCCATAGTCAAATTATACGCCAGATAGCATATTAAAGTAAAATAAGACGGATATCTGAACCGGTAAGAGAGGCGTTGCGATCGCGGTTGAACCTGTCAGAACGTGTAAAAAAACCTACTTAGAAATAGAAAACGACATAAAAGAAAAAAATTAGACGACAGAAACAGTACAAAAAGGATCTTGTGACAATTTTTGACGTTGAACGGAGGCGCTAGTGTGCTTCCATAATTTATTTGGTGTTTTGCCCACCGGTTCAGATAGCTTGGTCGGTCTCTATATTTATCATGGCAAAGTCTGCAAAGTTCAGGATTTTGACTTGGCGGCAAGTTGCGTACAAGACAAGTTTCAATTTCAAAGTGGCGCGGAGTATTGCATCCACAGTAGTGGAGTAGTACTGACCAGTTCAAGTGTTAGTTTTTTGTTAGTAAGTTTTGTTAAAGTTAACCTTAAATAATAAAATTAATAAATATGGATAATTATTCAAGTAAGGATTCATACAGCGTGGTAAGTGCACGATACAATATTTTATGATGTAATTAATTTGAAAACAATTTTTTTTATGTTATCATTAATAAAAATTATTTTGTATATCTGAAGATTCTCCAAATAACCATATATAAAATATTTGATATATAAAAAAAAATTAAATCGTAATTCATATTTTCATAATATGGATGGAAATTATTTAAATACATAGCGTACAATGTTTAGTACATTACTAAAAAGCGTGTTGGTTGTGTGTATTTGTAAGGAAAGGATGGGACAGAGTACGGGGATATATACTTTATCCATCTGTCTCCTCCTCCATCAATTAAAGTTATGCAATTGCAGCTGTCTTTGGGCAACAGTCTTCGCTATTTTGGCATATTCAGGTGGCTGCTTGCTTCTTTGCCACATTATAATATAAAAAATATATTTTCTATGAATAATGTTACAGTAACATGCTTGATTTGGCACATCGGTAAGCTTGATATTGACATGCCAAATTAATTATTGGTTATTATTATGTTCTTATACAACAATAAAACACATCTATTACTTACAGGTGTGTATTATTGTTGATTTAAAAATATTTTTAGGATATTCCAAAGAAACCATGGTACAAATACATAACAGTGGAGCCGTTGATGTTTTTCTATATGCTGGCTTTCATGATAACTAATGTTATTGAGCAAACATTCTATGTATTCAAAGCATGTACCGTGAACCATGGCTACAGTGAAGATATATGTTACAACATTAGTAATTATAAAGATATCAAAACTGAAGTTCAGGTGAGAAAAATTAATTTATTTGTATAACTTTGTCTAAAAATAAAATTGTGTCAACCCTTAATGCCACACTATCTTCTATATTGCTAACTTGCAGAAATTTTAATATATGCTCATAAAATGGGACACAAAAATATATAATTTTTTTAAATTTAGAAATGAAGACCATTAGCAATACCTTTATGCAGAAATAGATCCCTGTACCCTTGTGACTCCTAAAATAAAGTCATAGACATTTTCATGACCCCACAAAAGTGAAATTAATCAATTATTACCATTTATGAAGAAACTAGTGTTCGCCGCGGCTCCGTCCGCGCTAGGTTAAAAACTTAACTATTAGCCTATGTTACCTATGTCAAATATCTGCAACATTCATACATCAGTTCTGAACATCTTCTAATAAACATCCATACAAACATTCACATTTATAATATTAGTAAGATAAGACTATATTTTTTAAAATTTTTACCTTATGATAGAATTGTGTACAATATAAAAAAATAATAAACTAACTATATACTTATTTTAATACTTTAAATGGTTAGGTACATAAATGTTGAAAATTGTCAACTAAAAGACTTTTATCATATTACATTTGACTACATGCAGTTAGAAATGACCGGACATTAATGTTAATTTTTTAGCGTCAGCTTAAATTTGATATTGGTTGGTATCATATTAAAAGTTATATCTCGACAATGGAATATTCCTTATGCCTACCAGTACACATAAATATGTATGTACAACTATAAGTATGACGTGGTTGCTATTAAATTATTCAAACTTTCGTGAGACATTATACTAAACTGATATAAAAACGACTAAACACTCACGTATATTCGTCCGGTGGCGGCACCGATTAGTTTCGAGCCCATCGGGGGCCCTTCACCAGGTCGTAGTCGGTGCCGCGTTTTTATATCAGTTTATGACGTGATTGCATTTAAAAGTAGATTGAATAAGCATCTTTTAGGCTAATATGTACTACATTTCGGCCACATGACTAAACATCAGGTGAGACCGTAGTCAAGTGCTGGCTTATTTATTGTAGAAAAAGTTAAGGCTATTATATAAAACTGTAATGTACAATAAAAATTACAATATGTGTTAATAAAAGCGATAATTTAATTATTAGGCTTTTACACCATTACTAAAGACTTGATAATTAAACATTAAATTCGCATAGTCGTGTTTATTTTAAAATACCTACTTAACCGAATTAGATGTCGCCCCTTGATCGATATTCGACTATTCAAATATTTTTTTTTTATAAAAATAAAATCGATACAATTCTCCAAGTATCAAACAGGTTCATTCTTTCGCGCAATTTGCTTAAAAATGGGTGTAAAGTTTTCGTTTTAATCATTAAAACATATACACGTGTGAAACCGCGGACAATAACGTATATTCGTAATACTATAAAAATATCTATACCCTTGACTGATAAATATAACGTCTTGCAACTTATCTTTATCTCAATACCTTGCTTATCATAAGTCTTCTTATTTGTTCGACATATCTTTACACATTTATCGTCTATGGACACAATATGATAATTTATTCAATACTATCGACTTGCCCTGACTTTGCCTAAACTAACGCTTAACAATAATAATACTAGATGTCGCCCGGGACTCCGCTTGGTTATAAAAATAGGTAGTAGCCGATTCTCAGACCTACAGAAAATAGTAAATTGCATAAAACTCGGTCAAGCCTTTTCGAAGGAGTATAATAACTAACATTGTGACACGAGAATATTAATAAGATTATAATAAAAAAATTTGATTGTATTTTTCTTTCCATAGGCTCTGTTATTAGTAAACCGATTTGGTAAATTCTTGTATTGTTGCAAAACTACACTATCCCCGGGTGACATGCACGTTTATTACTAGATATAAACCCGCGAATCCCGAACCTGCATTGCACGATGTCGTCTCTGAGGAGCGCCTACGGGTGCAGCGCCTCATTGGGGGCGCATTGAGGAGCCCTATTCTCGGGGTGGTCAGTGGGGCGTCGCGGTGGTAAGTTAACACGATCCCGTGGCGTCCCACATATGGCTATGAGGGAACAGAGGGGTTTAGTGGGTATGCTCCCATTCGGGGAGAGAATCCCACATAACTACCGTGCCTTCCCCGAGGCACGGAGTATGCCTAAAGCATTCCCCTCTGAAACAAAAAAAAAGATATAATCCCGCAAGCTTGAAGTTGCTGGCCACTGTAATGTATAAAATGATATTGTGTTAGTCTATTCTATATGACCAGATTTATAAAAATTCTTAATTTACAGTTTGACGGTGACATATACTTAATATTTAACCTAATTAATTTGAACGCTGATTGCGTGTGATAATATAATAACGCATTGCTTGCTACAATATTATACGCAGTAGGCATTTGTGTTATAGATCACGACAATCTAAATATGATAACTCAAGACGTTTTACAAAATGTTATTAAACTATTGTTCTTTAAATTTATAGCGAAAATATCACTGTTTTTTTTTTTAGTTTTCTATTAGTAGTAGTAGTATAAGGATCACATCGATTATTCTGCACAGAAATCTTGTCTGTATGTATTTATATAAAGTATTTATATACTTATATATATACTACAAGAAGTATATATATAAAAAATTAAAAAAAATATTTATATATGTTTATATGGGAAAAACAATAAAGTTATTTTATTATTGCGTCTTCTAAAATCGGAAACATTATGTGCAAATGAAAGTTAATTTTTAATATTAATTTATATATGAATTTCGATCCAAACAGCCAGCTTTAAGTAGTGTGTTGTGAGAGTTTAAAATCGTGACTTTTTACAATCTACATCATAAGCAAAACCTAGCAAATAATGCGCAGTTTTGTGAGTCATATTGCATAACATAATATGTTATCCATAAAATGTCTTTAATTTTTTATGTAAAATGAGATTATATGAATTAGTTAATGTTTTATAAACGGTACTAGTAATATAGTATTTGCTAACTGTTAGCATTGCATTCTTTCAGAACCAGAGATTAACCTCACGGAAATTATTGTAACTTTATTCCTCTTTATTTAAACCGTGCGGTCTACACTGTCGAATTAATGTAAAAACATATTTAAACTCCATTTAATTGTGACAAGAAAATCAATCTGAAGAGCCTATGGTGTAATGGTTAATACGGATATTCGATCACGTAGTCTTGAATTCGAATCTGCTATTCTACTAATGACGTCAACATAAGGCTAAAGTAAAGAATTATTCATATTGTAAATGCGATAGTTTAGAGGGATGAATGGATGGAAATTTCCCATATAGGTAGAGTATAAGTCTGAAAGAAAATATAGACTGACGAAGCTGCGGGCGACAGGTTATATATAGGCGACATTTTGAAGTCTAGTTAAACATTATTTGATTTTATAAAAAACCTTATTTATTCCCAGGTGACAGTATCAACGTTTCATCAATGGAATGGCATCGCAAGTCATATAGTGCCTCTCCTATTAGCTTTCTTTATAGGTTCGTACAGTGATAAACGTGGCCGCAAGTCAATCCTTCTAGCTGGGCTGTTGGGCAAACTTTATTTCTCTATCATGATCACATTGAATACAATCAAAGGTTAGTTCTTCATTTCTTAATTTTATTTTGTTGAAATATGTACACGTATGCGTAGGAAGGGGATTCATATATAGCGGCTGATGGAGATGTATATGGAACTAGTACGTAATGTAGCGACCCTTCGTAGGGATAAGGGCAGGTTGATGATGATGATGAGTACACATATTCGTTTATTGCCAAGTATTTACTAACAAAATCATACTTTTATTGACTTAGAAATTGATGATACAAAATTTATTAAAAATCACGGCCTCACTGACTTCGGTGTAGATACCGACTTTTTAATTTTTTTTTATTAAAATACATATATCGGTTCAATTCAGTACAATTTTTCAGATTTCATTCTCATCGGATTTTATTACCTCCTCCTCCATTCCACCTTAAGACTAGCTTAGGGTTTTGATGTCAGGATGTTTTTATTATTGGTCCACATCGTGCATTATTACCAGCTCATTGTAAAATTTTACGAATAAATATTTGTTCAATACAAAAACATATTCAATACTCGTATGATACCTTGTTACTAAGAAAGATGTAATCAATAAGCCTGACAACCTTTCTTAGAAACATTGCTTACGTGTAGTTCTTACTGTGGGTTTCCACTGCGATGACATTTATATTGGTACATATTGTTGTCTCTATTAATTCACAGAGAATATAAGAGATAACAGTTGCTTAATTAATTAAATCTTTACTAGCTGTTGCCCGCGACTCCGTCCGCGTGGAATGAATAAAAAATCTTAATTAGTTCCCGGCAATTATTCGAATTTATCGCACTTTTTAAACCTTCCCTAGACCGCCATGAACATTTCAAGACCTAGATAATATAAATCCGTTCAGCCGTTCTCTAGTTTTAGCGAGACTAACGAACACCAATTGATTTTTATATATATAGTGTTGGAAGAAAATCTGAAAATTTGCTAGTGTATTGACCCAACACTAGCCTTACTAAAATGTCGACGTTTATGTCCCCTCACTATTCATTCTGACACTTGACTTTGTAATGAAAGCACGTCATTCGCGCCAAAGGATTCTAATTAATAACGTCTGTAAACAGATAATAATAATTATTTACAGCATGGCCAGTGGAATACATCATTTATACTGCAGCGTTTCCAAGTGCCTTAACAGGGGCGGACTTATCGATATTCGCGGGTAGTTTTGCATACATATCTGACGTATCTTCATTAAAGAATAGAACATTAAGAGTTGGCATCCTGGATATTGTCTATTTAAGTACAATGCCAGCAGGAGTAGCTCTAGGTATGTTTTTATTATATTTTTATAGCTGTGGCCCGCGACTCAGTCCGCGCACAATTAAAAAAACTAAAGCCTTCTTCGATAAATGAACTAACAAAAAAATAATTTTTCAAATCGGACCAGTAGTTCCTGAGATTAGCGCGTCTAAACAAACTCTTCCGCTTTATAATATTAGTATATATATAAAGGCATATAATTGTTTAGAGTTTCTCAATTTATTTTTATGTTTTTTGTTACTTCGTAATTCCGATTTTGATTATTCTTTTTTTATTCGAAAGCTAACGCGTGTCATTTTTTGACAAATTAAGAGGTATCAAGCGGTTTTTTTTTTGTTAAATAATGTGAACTTTTTCAGGTAATCTTTTATATACAAAAGTGGTTAACAAATCTTTTACTGCAATGTTTCTAATAAACACTTGCCTTATGCTAATCGCCACTATTTACTGTATTTTCGCATTAAAATGGCAAACGCGTATAGAACAAAAATCCCTTAGGGAAGCCAACGTGAAAAATCCAATCGCTGATTTCTTTGAATGGAACAACATTAGTCAGACTGTTGTTACATTAACAAAGAAAAGGCCAAATAATAGAAGAATGCTACTCTGGTTCCTACTCATTTCAATGGCTTTTTACACATTCCAAAGAGGTAAGGAAAGTTTTACATTAAACATTTTTGTATTAGTCGAAGTATAATGTGACACAATTTAAAAACGAAAGCAAAATTTATGACTTATATTTCACACTTACACCAATACGGGAATTCTCTAATAAGGAATCAATATCTCGATAAAATAATCAACAGTTTCAGGGCGGAATTAATATAAAACATTCATACATCTATGTAAAACCTAGCTACTCCTTAGAAAATAAATTAGTAGCCTATGTGTTCTTCCAGACTATATTCTACAACTTTGTCAAATTTCAGCGCGATGGATGCAACAGTTCTGAATATACCTTCTAATAAACATCCATCCATCGATCTAAACATTCACGTTTATAATATTAATACGATGTTTTTAGTTCAATTTCAAAGTTCAAACAGGTGATGTGATATTTTCAGATGAAAGACCAGTTATGTATCTTTACGTGACGAATGTTTTTGGCTGGGATGAAGTTGACTTTAGTAAATTCCGTACATTCCTCAGCACAGCATACGTCGGAGTTATGCTTCTAGGAATACCGGTGTTCACTAAAATCTGGAATTGGAAAGACACGGTAAATAACTTATACCTACTTATATAAATACTAGCGTTCTTAATTTAGGTTTCGAGCTTGGGGTCTTGAATAATAAAAAAGTTTTTTTTATATATTTAAAACTAGCTGTCGCCCGCGACTCCGTCCGCGTGGATATATATAAACTTAATTAGTGTAGCCCAGCCATCCATCTAATCTCATCCATCTAAACATTCGCATTTATAATATTAGTAAGTTAAATAAAAAGCAGCTCTTTAAGGCATAATTCGAAAAAAATGAATAAATAGTACCCTAAAGCCGTTCTTGAGTTATAAATAGTGTAACTAACACGACTTTCTTTTATATATATAAGATTGTGTTCTTCCGAGCCACTATATAGTTTGTATCGCATTATACTTTTTAGGCGATAATAATGTTGGGCGCTGCAGCACATATTTGTGGGCACACAATATACGCGCATGCGACAATTGGTAGAAGTCTTTATATTGGTGCAACTATAGCAGCATTTGGTCCTTGCGTTGCCCCAATGATCAGAGCTATGACTTCAAAAGTTCTACCGGCAGCGGAGAGAGGTAAAACACGAATTAACTAACAAGATTCTTATGTCCTTTCCCCACAAATCAACGTAAATCTTATAAACTTGGCGATTTTAGTCGCTAAGACCTACTCACAATGTCACAGATGTTGAAACACAGCACGTCGCCGACATTTATATCCTCATCGAAACAGTCGATCGCAACCAGTTTGTCAATATCGTCGTTATTAAAGTCGCTTCAATTTTCAAGATGGCGGAGCAAATCTATAAATTTGACATGTAGTCGCTATGCTTGCAATGTCCGACTATTCAATTGTGTACGGAGCGCACAACGTTAAACTCACGACGCTAGGATACAATATTAATTTCGAAGATTTACGTTGCCTTTTACGAAAATCTCTCTCTTTCCCTAGCTGGGACTAACTTCCCTAACATGGTGGTGGGAATTACTTTCTTACTGGGGATTAACCACTTCATTCTATCCTCAAATCCTCCGTCAGTCTTGGCAATCACTTATATTTTTCAGTCCCACATATTTCCAAAGAGAGTAACAGAGAAATATCTACTTAAATTAATTTACAGTTAAAATAGTATAACAAATCTATACTAAGGGGGTCTCTCAGTTTATCATGAACTCTGGGATCGTCAATTAGTTAATTATTATATAATATACGATTTCAGGTGTCGCATTTGCATTCCTATCTGTAATGGAAAACGCGGTCGCGATGTTCGCATCAATTGTATATTCACAATTATACAAAGCAACATTAAAAACAGATTATATAAATTCTATATTCTATCTCACTATAGCTACACAAGCGATAGTATTTATATTAGCAAGGTATGTATAATTTGATAACGTAATTGTTTTGATTCGATGACATATTAGTACAAATTGACAGTATCTACATTTTTTTTTAATTTTATGTCCTGGTAACATAGACTTTTAGGTCATGTCTTATTTGGAAAATGTTCGTTACTTTGGATTCACTTCACTTAAACAGTAACTACAATTGTAGTGTGTCCAAAGAGTATACTGAGTGTGTCTATTTAAGATAGTTTGACAGTTCACTTGACACTTCACTAGAGATGGGTTAATTAAAATCGGTTATGAAAATTTTCGATTCTCTATGGTTGTTCTAATAGAACTTGCTATCAAAAATTTCGTGATTATTGTTTTTAATTAACAATATAAATGAAATTGTTTCTTTCTATGCCAACTTTATTTTTCAAAACTACGTAGAAAAATAAAATATTAAACCAAATTTTGAGTCTTATTTATTTTTAATTATTAATTGTCTTTTAATTAGCACTTTTGAATAATAACGTACGAATAAATTCCAGCGCAACTGAAATAGCTCTTAATGGCAGACGTATAGAGACTCTTATAGAACAAGACGAAGCACAAATTCCCACTGCTGCAGCTTTAAATGATAAGGATCAAGAAGTATATTAACATTATATACAAATTTAATATACATTTATGTAAAAAATTAAATAATGAAATTACTTAATTGTAACAAGGCTGTGTCCAAAATAGTATAAGATTTTTTTTGTTACGATTATCTTTTTGGTTTGATATATAATGAAATTTTAAATATGTTAAAAAGTCTAAACAGACAGAATTCCATGGTAAAGGTAGCTTAACATTTTAAATAATTGTTATATTTGTGTTAAATTTTTTTTTTATAATAGATCATATTCCACTATTAGGTTGAACAATATTAGGGTAAATATATTATTAAGGATAATTTTATATTAAAAGACGTCATAATCAAACAAAACATATCGTAAAGAATTTGGTCTTAGAAACTCACGGTTTGTTTTTTAAAGCCATACTGAGATACATGATTCAAATCCTGGATATGATAGAAAGTTATGCTCAAATCTGTACAATGTACAAAATCCTGCCTTTAAAAACTTCCTATTAGAATTTTAATAACCGCATTTGTGAATTGTGTAGAAATAATTTTAAATGTTAATAAAAAATTTATATATTTGTTTCTAATTAAATTTGCAGTTTTATTTGATTTACTACTTTCCAGCATTCAATTTGACTTAATAAAGTACATAATTTCACTAATAAACAGATTAATTACAAACCTACAGGTATTTATTTAAAAAAAAAATCTCCAATAAATGTTTTAAGGGAATCAAATGAAAAATAAAATATTTTCTGCTACAAATATAATTCAAAATAAATGTTACATATTTAAAATACAAGAGATAATAGGAATTTATTATAATATTCGAGTATAACATGTCATTTTTATTTTGTGTATACATTTTTGTGAGTAGTTAAAAAGATGGATATAAAAAGTAGTAGAAGAGTAAAAGGAGATTCCATATACCTTACTATCTTACTCTAATAGAAATCCATAACAAATCTTTGGATTGTCTTTTTGATAATTTCATACATTTTATAAGTACTTTATAAAATAAAAGATACTTTGACTGACTTAATATACAAATATCGTCAATCGTAGTATTAAACAGTAAAACTTAAAACGCCATACAACGGCCATTACAATATTTCAGTTATTTAATGAAAAGTAATACTTAATTGTGTATAATTATACAAAAAAAAGTCTTTTACCAGGAACATTTTAGAATTTACAACTTTTACCATGGGTTTCTGACACTGAAATCTCTGTACAAAACATATCATCGTCCCTTACATTATCTTTGACAAAACAGAGATAACAGTAAATTTAAAACGAAGATTTGAGACTCAGAAACCCATGGTTAGTGAAATTATTTATAATAATATTTTGACAATTTACCGCAGAACGCTTAACATTATGGTAACCACTTATTATTATTTCTTCTACAAAATTTATGGTTGTGACAGCCATGTATCGAGATATTGTTGAATTTCAACTCTTGCCTCAGTCAGTTGAGGTAGATCTTTGTCACTTGCCGGATACATGTTGGCGCAATGTGCGGTACCTGTAGACATAAATATTTACATATTAACTATAACCCTTGGCTCTGCTTGCTTGGGAACAAAAAAAACTTTATTAGTAGCCTATGTGTACTTCCAGACTATATTCTATATCTGACAAATTTCACAGAGATCCTTGCAGACATTCTGAAGATACTTTCTTACAAACATCCATCAATCTATCCAAATGTTCGCATTTATAATATTAGTAAGAAGTAAGATATCATTGTGTATTATATAAATAGACAGAGGATTTCGTTTGTGACATGACATAGCAAAGATCGACATACATAAAAACTTATTTCATTTTGCCTGACTTACAGTATAGCAAATATTTTTTCATGAGTTTGTAATTATGTATTTTAGTATATAGGCTAGTATATTATGTATATCAATACCAATGAATGAGGCGTCATTTTAGTTAGAGTAGGCCCCGAGCCCCTCGGTGGGGACATTTAGTGAGCTGATGATGATAGCAGTAAAATCAGTCAGGATTTTTCTGAATAAACAACTAATTATTCCAAATGTTTGACTGCCCTGATTATTCCTTTAATTTTCTTTTAGAAGAGAGTAAACTAAATCAATTATGACAACATATTCTTGAAAGACATGAGAATGATGAGAGATGAGAAGACACGAGGTGAAATTTCTCTGGTAATCAATATATATTCCTTGTACCACCTCATTATTAATTAGAATTAAAAAAAAAACACTCACCGTGAATATAAATAGCTGGTGCATTATTATCTTTTGTGGTGGTGATACCGAGAGCATGCCATGGATCAACTGAGCCGTGCACAAATACAACTCTATCCACATCTATACCTAATCCACCGTAATAACTGTTGCTCCATTCCGCTGCATTCTCTATAAATTCTTTGTTAAACCTAAAAAAAAGTTAGTAGTGTTAAAATGAGTTCATGAAGATAACAAAATGTTTTTCATGTATATATTAAATTATTTGATTAAAAATAATGTATTTTTATTTTTTAGTCAATTTTTTTTTACTTAATATGTATATAAAAATTTAATACTAAGTTTGTGGTAGGAATAAAAATATTTATTAAATAGTCTATGGCACTTACTTTTTACCGAAAACATCTTGACACTGTTGCACAAAGAAATCCAATTTGAAATGATCACCAAATATACTAACTTCTCCCGAGGATGTTTGGTAAAAACCAAACTCAGTGCAAGTCTGATACATCCATTGACGGCCTAAAATCAAATTAAATAGAATTTTAAACATAATATTTAAATTGAAATTACATATAGTTAATTCCAAGATTGAAAGTTCTCATATTTACACAAAAGATTTATATCTGTCTTCATTTCTTTTTATATTCAAATCAATGTATATTTCTCCCCTAAGCTATTCATAAACCCTGAACAGATTTTTATGATACTTGTAGAAAATTCTTGAAGACACTACATAATTGTGATCTAAAAACCAGTTAAAATAACATTTGTTTTTAATATTTTTAATTATATTTAAAAGTATTAATAACTTACCTCCTTCGGAACTCAATGTTGTGTTCCTTAATTCATTAATCATATTATTGTAGCTGTAATCCATACAAGTTTGATTTGCTTTGTTCAACATTATAGAATTGAACGCAGCTAAACGTTTGTATGGAGCCTCATCACCCGGCTCTGTTAGCAGTTTGCACACCTGTGTATATAATATTATGTTATAGTACATATCTTTATATAGTTTTATATTACATAACTTTATTTTACCCACATAATCTATGCTGAAGTAGAGTGTATATTGGAACATAAATTTAAATCATTTCTAGTATAAATTTTGATTTACTCACAGTATTGATGGTTATATTCTTATACTTTGTATCAGCACTAATACGATTGTCCTCATTATATTGTACAAGGTCAGCGAAATCATCAGCTATCGAATTGAAGAAATTTTTCATATCATTCTCCGTTGCTTTTGAAAATGGCATACACATTCTGAAAAAGAATTTAAACAGTTTCTTTTTGATTAAAAATTCTTATCCTTTCAAAACCTTAAATAGGATATAGGCATATACTTATTTTTGCTTCATTTATATTAAATAAAATTTCACTTTACATTTCAGCTTAAATGTTATTTGAATAATTTCACATTAAACTTGTTATGTATTGAACATTCCGTAAATTGCAAACAATAAATATTTCTAAAGGTATTTTTTGTAGAACAAGGCTATTGTTATAATAATTGCAAAAATACTTTGCATATATATGGAACGTTCCATTACTAACGGTGACAATTTATGAATAGAATCTTAAATTTTACTGTGGCAGTAAAGGAAAATTTGTAAAATATAAAACGTATATAGGAAGACTATTTAACACAATTCTGGTACAACTATCCAGTGTTTACTTCGCTTTATTACTTATGCCGAGGATAGCACCGTCAAACAATCTTTTTTTCTAACTTCAATACCCTATACATATTAATTTGATAGGAGACAACAGAATTGTTTTATTGAACTTACTAAGAGCACAATTTAACTAACAAACATACTTCATTTAATATAAGGTTCAAATTGCACTATCAAAGACATACATAAACCTTTGATCCCATATTTATCAAAACAATTAAAAATAAAATTTATGACTTGCAAATAGGAAAACAAAGGATAGTAACTATGTAAATAACTGGTCAATTTGTGATAAAAACTATATTGTAACTAACTCATACCATTTTACGACCTCATTGCTATATAACATTACATAAAACATGGTGAACAGGTTTCATACTTAAAATAATTAAAAACTAAATAGATCTAGATTAACCACTTTTACTAAAAAGGTACTCTTACCTGAATTCCTTTTCAATTTCTTCTGGCTGTGTTTTAATTAACCCTTCTATCTGTTCATGAGCATTACGCAACTGGTTAACACAATCATCGCTGCCAGTCTTCTCACGAAGAGCATTCACTACAACCTCAAAGTATTCTGTAAGAGAACATACAATAATAAGTAGAATTTGGATAAATGCTGTTCTATATTATGCTGAAATGTATTATTTTTATAACTTACCCATAAAATTAACTTTTGCAAGCAATGGTCCACTTGAAGAAACCGAAGCATGCACCAAATGAGGATACTTCATTCTTAGCCAAGCAGCCAAGGATCCTGGGTAAGAACCACCAAATGCCACCCATTTCACTTCACGGTTTAACTTGAGCTTATCATTCATAGCTGTTATGAAATTTGCCAAATCTGCTAATGCCTGAGATGATGATAAGTACTGCAAGTTTTTTGTGCTGAAGTCTCTGAAAGGTTAAACAAAATATTAATTTTCTTTCTATATTCTTAATTAAGAACAATATTATGCCTGGGAATGATTTTACACAAATTTTATAATTTTATACATCATATTTCAAATTCATAATGGCACACAGATGTCAAAGGAGTTTGTAATTGTTATTAAAACTATTTTATTCTAATGAAAAATGACTGTCAATGAATGTCATTGAATTCCTGATTGTCAATATTAATTATTAATTTTATAATTTTTATTTAAGAAGAAAGATACACCCTACAATACCTTAACTTTACAAAACTGAATTGCAAAACAATAAAAGAGATAATTCATTATAAACTGAGATTGGTACAAAGTTAAGGCAATGGTGGTGAGTATAAAAGCTAGATATTTAATATCATAAACCAAGAAATCAGTACTTTTTATACCAAACTTGCTTAAATGTGTTGATTGGTCTATGGGTCAAGCGGTCCAATGGGGAAAAAACCATATTATTTTACTTACTCAGTGGGATGACTCTCTCCATAATACCGGTGTTCTAAGTTGATACAGAGAGCATTGAATTTTTTTGCATAATCAATCCACGCTCCCTTTACCATCCATCTAGGATCAGCTGGTCCTTCACCACCAATCATTAGAAATATAGGACCAGGATTTTTATAGTCATAAAAACTGTCATTGATATAATATCGCTGTAAAAGTGTTAAAATAGATTTAATATGAAGGTTTTCACTATTAATTATGCTTATATTTATAAATAAACTATTTTTTTTACCTGCTTCCAACTACGTAAATCAGTAGGACTAAAATGGTCCAACTTTTGCTTAAACCACTGTGCAGGTGGTACTTTTTCTCCAGCGTATTCACCGGGAATTCCTAGGTTACCATTTTTACTTCGACCGAGACGGAATTCTTTACTGCCATGGCATAATACCAAATGAAATAGCAAAATTGATGAGGTTTTTAACCACATAATGAAAAGTAAATCACAATTATGGCAAATAAAAAATAACTGAAATTCAATAAAGAAGTCGTATGCGGTTTACTCATGAGAAGCTGAGAACCGAGAATGAAAAATGCTGAAGTGTTTACGTTTGCGCGAATATGATTGATTTGTTGTGTGTGACCAGATTTAAATGTAACATTCTACTAACTTGGTTATCATTACAAAAAGCAATTATTATACCATTAAATAGTTTTCAATTTTTTGCTATAAAAAACGAAATTTTAATCATCTTTAGGTATAGTTTATATCTGGGGCTGAAGAGCACTGAGCTTTCTTAATCATTAATCAGAAATATCTTTGATGGCGACAGATTTGCGCGTAATGTTTATTTAATGTTTTCTTTTAATTTCATTTTTTTAATCAATCCGATAACGTACAACTGTAGACTGTAGAAAAAAAAATAGTAATGCTGATAACATTTATTTTGTTAAAAAGATATTTGTATTTCATTTCTTAATTTGAGGCTCCAATTTTGTTAAAATCGTAGAATTATACTAAATCTGGTCACACAGGATATGAACAAATTGTCAATTGGTAAAAAAAACTAGCATAGATCATATTTTTTTTCCAAACATTGGTATTTGAATTTTAAAATTTAATTTAACCTAATCATGTCCTTAATTTTTTCACTGATTTTACGATTTACTTAATTATTAGATAATTGAGTTTACATCTTTAATGTTGCAATATGTAAAAAATCTTAGTCACGAAAAGCGATCGATTACAAGTAGGCAGGTGTTGCATGCCATGGTTTAGTTGTGTGCAGTTGTGTGTCTTGGCAAGAGCTCGGTGATTCAAAAAAAATGGCACTCTCCAGGATAACGTTTACCAAATTAGCAGAAGTACAGGTAAATATCCAAGTTTATCTAACCTTTCTAAATGATAATTATGCTTAATGTCTTTTAAAAATTTTACGTAACCTAAATAGCATGTTTGAATTTTGAGTTATGTAATAACAACTATTTTTGGATTTAATATACCCATTTTGTAGTTTTAAATAATAATTATAGATTTAAATTGTTGCTGTTGCGATTTGCATATTGTATGTTCATTCAAAAGAAGGTATTTCGCGCTAAAGCATTCTGTATCGCGGCCGTTTGAATTCACGCATGTTCACATAATTTCCATTTGATGTCAAATATTTTTTTTTATTTGTGAAATATTACACCTTTTTTTTATCATACGTAGTACTGTTTTATTATATTTTGTTAACTGCAGTATAATTTATATAACTTTAATTTTTGCACGTTACCAACGTGTATAAAACTTGGCATAAAATTCGTACCTACCGAGCTTATCCTTTACACGTGGTTTACTTACGTTTTAAAATGTAAGTAATTACATAACAGTCTACGCAGTTCTTTTATATTCCGACATTTCTAGTGTTATTTAGTTTGAATATTACCAAATTTTCTTAATTATAATGTAGTAAATTCATTTTAAAGGAATCTAATAAATAAAATTATAATAAAAATGATAAGGTTGTGTATATACTAAGCAAACCTTTTTAAACTACTCTTTCTATCAATTGTATGTTAATTATAATAAGTAAATATGTTGGTTCAATTTTAAATCATCAGATTGTTTTTGAAGGATAAATCAACCATGTTTTTATAATACTTAAAAAACAATTGACAGTTTCTTCTTATAATTGCTAAATAAACTTGACTTGCAAACCATTATATATGGATGCAAGATGGATACTAAAAGAACGGAAGTCTTATAGTCACCTTATTATTAAGTTATACTACTATCAATTATCTAAATAATTGCAGTAACTCGTCTAACCGAATGAACCATTCATGCACTAATTGAGAGACATCTTTTGTTAGGATATTGACTTAACACTGTATCGATAAAGTGATGTCTTGAATTGCTAATACATAGAACAATTTGATATATAATATAATATGATTTATATACCTTACATGTCCCGTTTAGAAACTTTTCCCATAGAGATGTATTATTATTTACATTGTATTATATATTTTTTTGTTAACTAAATTCATTCTGCTTAATAAATTAAGAAATTTTTGAATTCATATTTAACACTGTTTTAAATTCAAACTTTTTATTTAAATTTTCAGACTGATTAAAGTAACACATAATTATGGTTATTGAACACCATATCATCTATAAATAATTAGGCTTTTTTATGAATTATAATACACATTTATGCGAAATCATAATTTTTTTGAAGTACTGTCTACAAATAATTTTGACTGTATTTTTTGTTAAAAATTCAGCGTTATAGGAATCGTGTACCGTGTGACAATAGCCTTGAATCGATCTATGTCATTGTCACGTCGACCATATCATGTGGACTACTACGCGTGATACTCGAACGAATGTCGAACAACGCTATTATCACGTGCATACGATAAACATGTGTAAAATAAATCGTCAGATGTGAAAAATATAGTTTAATTATTTTTTGTGATAAGTCAATTTGATGGTGATTAATTAAAATGAATGTTTAGTGTAATTTTAGCAGGTTGAGTATTCCGGCGATTGTTTATTAGTTAATACAAGACTTTCACTATTTCTTAATGTTATTCGTATTATTTTTTAATCTTTTTGCTACACTGATTAATATGAAATAATTCGGAGAATTGAAGGTCATTAAATTTTAAATTTATACCTTGTAGTCACTAAATGATACTGTTTTTGTCGAAAGATTCACTTCCAAAACATAAAAAATATTCCTATCGGCATAATACAGAATAATCAAATCGTACTATAATTAAATGGTATTAGATAAAGATTCGCTATATTGACAAATATTATTTTATTACATAAATCTATACTAACGTATTTACAAGGAAAATATCTATACCAGTATTACGCCAAACAAGTAGATAACGATTTAAACAAGTAGCTCATGAACATTTTAAATTACATTTATTCAAATAAATAATGAATTCATTTCACGAAGTTGAAAGTGATACAGCTGTTTGAATATATACATGGTTACATGTCTCTGTCACCAAATGTACTCAAAAAACTATGTCTAAGCGAACACCATAAAAACGAGTGTAAAAGAAATACTAAATTAGTACGCGTAATGTAGACGTCTTTTTCCTTTCCTTTACGTTATATCTTTCTTCTCTCTCTTGTAACGAAATATGAACATGGCGTGTCCTTGAAATTGGTCATACCCGTTTAACTTGTAATTTATGTAACTGGGTGTTAATAAATCGCATAGATACAGATTATGCAAACGTGTTTAACGCGCGATGACTTTCAAGATGCGTGTCCTATGCATTGCGGTCTAAAGATAACACAGGTCAGGTTGGCTACAGCCGGGCTCGCACCCAAATAGCCTACATTTATATTACACGCTCATATCAATCTCTTATAAACGTTTATATAATTGATATTTTAAATGAAATAATCGAAATGCGCACTTATCGCATGCGTAATTTAAAGTGGAAATTGCCTAGTTTGAAGTTTTATGATACCATACGGAAATAATCCTAAAAACACAATAAAAAATTGTAAACAAAAATGTGTATAGATTGTAAGAAGTAGCGCAAAGTATTTTCTTTAGATCTTATTGTTAACGGAACCTTTAGACAAAGAAAAAATAAAATCACAAAGAATGATATAAAAACTGCCACGAAGAACGGTAACGGTAAAATTTTATGAATGTGTGTACTTCACGATTTAATATACCTATTGTAACTAAAAGACTAATTTCATTTTATGCTTATTTATATTCGATAGATTGCTGACGCTTAAAGTATTCGGTAAATAGCCAGCATTAGTTTTGCAGTTTTAAATATGAATATTTTCATGTAATATTCTTCTTTGGAATTAAGTAAATTTTTTTCTTGTAATCACTATCTTAGAGTTATCTGAGTCACATTTTATGAATGTGTTTAATTAAAAGTGTACGGCCAGGATATTCCACGTGCATTTTTGTATAAAATTACTCGAACGATTGTAAGTGACCAATGGTAGCGGGCGAGTAGAGTCGAGACAGATCATGATTATCGACCATATTAAAATATTCATCTTAAAGCGCGGCACAGATTTCGCCGAAATATTACGATTTTGTGTTTTAAAAAGGGGACATGTGAACACAATTTATAACAATTCAGTTTAAAATTTTCGGAATAATTCTAATATCGTATGTTTAACATGGAATATAAAGTTTTGTAATTTATCGTTGCAGTAGATATGATGGTTAACTGGTCTGATTTTATTATGTTGGTAATGTTAACGTGTTGTAGATAAGAATCCAACCAATTAACAAACCTGCTTTCATATATATCTCAATTACATAATGCGCTTTTACACGGGCTAATGATAAACGTGTACTTTTTCAACTTCAGCGGACCTGTTCGAAATCATTTGTATTTATTGATCTATTAGAGTCCATCGAATTTAAATTTAAAGCAGCATGCAGACTGCTGCAAACAATTGGATTAGTGTCATCCAAACTTTATGGTGGCACATAATTTTTATAACACGCATGGCCTAGATATGAGCGGGGCATATTCTTGGGCGTTTTTTCTAACTGCAATATGTAGGCCTAACAACCACCTGAAGACATGTGCTAGCAACTAAAATGCAAGCGAGTTTTGAATCTTATATTATAATTTCTACAAGCGGTTCCAATTCCGACGTGTTAGGTAGTCAGTGGAATTTTCTAAACATCAAATTAGACTCACGTGATTTAATACCGTGACATTGAAGGAAAAACATTCGTGTCTCACATACTCATTATCTTATCACAAGGTATTCAATGTGACAAGACTAAGATACGTATAAAATATATTGAAGGCTTGGTAAGCTAAATCCATCTCAGTGATTGATTAAAGTAGTTGATTATTCTTGTATGACGTCATCGATTTGTACAGCTTCATATTATTGAGATAACAATCGCTTATTCATATGGGTTGATATAATCAATTTGTTTCCCTTTCCCTAGAGTTTCCACTAGGTTGTGAATCAAATGTTTCGAGATTTTTATGTTCAGCATTCAAATGCTATCCAGAACAATACGTGTAATTTTTAAATTAATCCTTTATTGTAAAAAATTTTGGCACTCGTATCTTAACACGTTATTAACAATGCTCAAGAAATACCAGCTGCAAATTTTGTTCAATACTCCATAGATAGTGTATGAAGTGATATTAAAATGATTGAAATAAATGTTCTTTAAACAAAGTGAATACGGCTTCTAGTTAATAATTAACACGTGGTGAGTGGCAATGACCCACGAACAACCCGGCTTGACTACAATTCGCTTTCTTGAAATTGCTATTCATGCTATTAGCAAAGGTCTGGGTTAAATTCGTATACCGGTTTATTGCACGTATGTATTATGCGTCAGAATCACTATAGATCAAATATAAGCACGTGGTTTATTTTACTTTTCAATATTATTTTTAGAAGACATTGAAAAGAATAACGGAGAACAAACGTAACTAGTGGTAGAACAACGAGAAATGTCATTAAAATTATGTAATAGATCGTCTTCATTTGGCAAGTGTCGTTGCCTCACAAAATGCCAACATACTATGACTGATTATTTCTTCTGTATTTTATGTTGTTTGTAAAATCTTTTATCCCATTCTGATCCTTTTTTATAAGAGATTAAGCATATGAATAGCGGGAATTCTAAGGTGATTATCGATGTCCATGGAGATCCGCAATGCCAGAGGAACTGTATATGCATTGTTGATCTTTGGGAATGTGGAGTAGAGAGAATACGCTCGCCTGCTAGGTCGGATAGAGTGTCTCCACAACCTCACGGTTGAGTATTGTCAGTCATCTTGATTGTGTGGATAGTACCTGGCGATGTCGTGTCGTCTTGTATAAAAATAAAGCGTACTTTTAT